GGTTTTTCTTGCCCGATGTGTCGAACAAAAGGTCCCTTCTTCCACCGCCTTCCGTCTGTTTCGTCGTTCTTGTAGTGTGTTTCCAAACGAAAGTCAAAGGAAAGTTTCTCGAACGTTAAGAACGTCGCCGCAGCTTCGTACTGGAACGTGCTCGAGAACAAAGCGTATGAAATTTACGTAAGAGCCGTAATGTGCTGGCTGAAGTACGTTGCAGGCTCTCGTAGAGACTAGAGATGCCCGACATTGATTACGAACACGTGTCGTATCTAGCTGGCTACCAAGCAATGCACCCTTTTGTCCGAAAAGTGCTGCTAAGGATAAAACTATCGATGAACCATGGCTTTGATGAAAGAAGAATAGCTCGAGTCCGGGGCGAGAAACGATTAATTCGCTATGTAGATTTCTGGAGGATGTACGATGACGAATGAGGCAGTGTAAAAGTGGAGTAACTGAGCTATTCTGCGTTTTTCTCAATGCCAGTTTACAAGGCTTACAACAGTGAAGTTATATGATTTTTTTCAATATTCGAATTTCGATATCTGCAATCTTTTAAATGGCCATAGCCTGTATTTTATGGTTTAAAATTTTATACTACGGAGAAGATCTTGATAAAAAAAAGTACACTTCATTGGAAAATAGGACAAGAGTTCGTGTCGATACTTTTTTTTTAATCGCCACATAAGTATGTATATTAAGACAGCCCTCGGGAACTTGTTTAATAAAAAAAAAAAAAAAAAATACGAGATGAAAGAATTTATTGCTTTCAAAATGAAACTAGTATCAGTTTTCACACTAGATATTTTCTGTTCACACTTATTTTGGATAGCGAATTACTCAGTTTATTGAATATTGGGGTTAGCCCACTTTTGCTCTCCATCCGCCTCGGATAACGTATCGTTTTTTCCCCAAAAAGAAGTAAAAATATTGTTCGCGTTCAACCATTTTTAATTCTCCTGCAATTGAATTTTTATATAAATCAATCTTGCTTTTATTTCAATAAGCTCGAAGGCTTATATCATTTAACGTGGAAATATGAATATAGAAATAACAAAGAAAATGTTTAATACTCTTTTTGTTGTAATATTATAATTCTATGATGGACAAAAAGAGTACAAATCAAAATAATATAAACTATCGTTTCCAAAAAGTGATGTATATCACGAAATTCAACACCTGCTCTTACATTACTATTATAAGTGTTTTTTCTGTAAAACTTTACTTTTCTGCCTATCAGAATATTATGACATCTAATTCTTTGAATGTAATTAATTACAGTTTAAAAACAGGTATAAAAATAATATCACAACTAAGATATTTATTCAATTAAGAACGTCGTTATTTTCTTTTAAATTTTGAGATGCTCCAAATTTTTCAAAAATAAGTGTAGCTTTCAACTAACACGATGTTACACAGACGTAAGACGTTCGCGTCTTCGCTATCATTGTCAAAGTTAGAAATCCATCAAACGAATGGACAATAAACCTCGAGAACCCCCTCGAACTCCCTACACCGGTTGCAAACGAGGGTGAGAGACGAAACGCACAAAGATGAAGCACTCTTACGGTTGTTCGAGTTATCACAATATTTTTGCAAGATCAAGTATCGACAGCGCTACGCTTTGAAAAGCGTGCCGGGGGATTTTCTGTTAGTATTTGCCCCCAGGAGACAAACCGCCGAGTCCAACCCTTCCGATGCCGCTTTAATATTCACCCGAAGTTGCAGCCGAACAATCCCGCCTGATGAATAGGGGCACCTCGTGGCAAACGTACGATCAAACCATCGAAAATTCTATCGAATTTGTGTTAGAGCCTCGCCTCGTATTTTACGTATACAGCCGTCGAATTATCGACAGTGACACAGACACTCTGTTTCGTTCTGGCGTCGATCATGCGATTTAAACGAACAGTGGTTTCTTTTTTTTTTTTTTTTTTTTTTTTTTTCTCTCTACAAAAACGTAACGAGGTCTTTGACCAATTTAAAATTCGCTCGCATGAATTCGCTGGCTGAGTTCAATATCGGTCGGCGAACAGTCCACGGGGAATAACGTTCAGCTTGTTGCCAGTCAGGCAGATCGAAACTTGGCTAGGTTTGACGTGGCCAGCTATTTAAATCGAATAATCCTTGGAGATTATTTGATTTTTTTTTTAGGAAGCTTCATCGGCGAGGGATTGTCGATGATTTACCGGTGAATAATTCGTGGTCGAGGAAAATTAATCGGTGCTTGCGTTTGCAAGAATCATGTTTTAAGCAGTAGTATTGATGAATCGACGAGATTGTAGGTTGTTCTTTGTAGTTTACAGTTTAGCGTAAAATAGGATAATCCACACGATCGACATTCGCATTTAGTAGAAATTAGAATCTCCAATCTTTTGTAGAATAATTTTCCAAGCTCTTGATTAATGTGAGCAATAATTAATCTCCTATACTACAAATGCTAAAATTCATCAGTGGAAGTCCAACTTCACGTCTTTGAGAATGTAATCGCAAAATTATTATGTGAATATAATTAGAAGAATAGAATTTCAGAAAATTCGTTTCTCACATATTATATATTTTCTCGTTTCAGATTAACAAATCAAAAAAACAAATCTCTAGTCTTATATTTATTTATCGGACGAAATGTCCGAATCGAAAGATTTCGACTTTGATTTTCTAGTTACAAGACTAGTGCAATCTATGACGCGTGTGCATCACTAATTATCACACGAGGATGCAATTAATTCGCGTATGTCTGATCTCCGTGGAAACAGACGTAATTGTGGAGTATCGCCGGCGGATTTAGTTGATATACGTGGGCTTTAATAATGGCGTATTATTGATCAGACTGAACCCCGTTTAAATTCCGTCGCGCACCCTCGTTCAACGAGCGAGATGGTAGGGTGCGTTGGTCAGAGATGTTGTTCGTGTACCGTATTCAGGGTACTCAGACATCGTGTATTAATACCCCTTATAATTACGAGGATTTTCCTCCATCGACGAATTTCACTTTCCCTTTTTCCCTTCCATAGTTCCATATCGTTACTTCCAAAACGCAGTGCATACAATGGAGTTTGCTTGGATTAATTATTTATTAGAAACGAAGATGCTCTGTGTGTGTGTGCACCTTAAGTTTGTCGTTTTACTATTTATTACTCGTGGAGAAAGTTTTCGTTGTTGACTTCAAATAAAAGTAGCAAAAATTTTGTCATGTAGATGTACGTTGGAATTCAATTTTTTATATAATAGAATTATCTGAACACTGAATGTTATGTCAGAGCAAAGTTTATTCAATCGTTCTCGGTATGGAGGAAAAGCCAACTATTCGTCTTGACTTGTCAGTTCATACAAAAACTCTATCTCATCCTAAATGAATTTATTTTTTTTTTTTTTTTATTAAAAATGCCTCGTTTGAAGGCAATCAGGCTTTGTCACTTCGTTTACATACTCGATGTAAATATTTTAGAGATACATGTTTTATGATTTTTTTTGTTGTTCACCGAAAAATTCATCTAAACGAAGCCTTGTTGTATTAACGTAGGGTACTGTTATAGATTATGTTAATTGTCAGGCAGGAATTAAAAAAAACGATAGTAATTATCACTTACCGAGGCTGTATCGCCAGAGATCTTTGAGAGGAAGATTGCCATTTCGTCCGCCAAGGAGATATACGTGCCCGGCAAGCAAAGTAGCGCTGTGCTTGCTTCTGGAAGGTGGTGCGGGCCCATTTTCAGTGCCAGCCGCAGTAACCGAGCTCCACATTTTCTTCCTGTAACAGAGAGATCTCGAATTAGTTCTGCTTAAAGAAACGATTTAACGAACGATTCGTCCGCGATGACGATCCACTCCAAATTGGGATCGACGAAACTGGGAAGTCTAGTTTGATTGGTGATAAATCTAATTGTGCATTTATGGAAAATCTGTAGGTGCAAGAATGCGGAATATATGAAAAAAATTTTTTTTCTCTATCTTCTCTCTTGCGATTAGAAAAAGCACGCGTATCTTTGTACAAAAGTAATTTTAAAAGATTAGGAAAGAACCTGGTATATATTGAGAGAAATATGAATATGAATAAAATTTCAGTTTAGTGCTGTAGAAACTGTACTTGAAGAAGTCATTATATTTCTTTTGAAATTTCAATGCACTCTAAATTTTCGGGGACTCTAAATCTTCAGAAACAAATAAAATAGAATGTTCGTTACTATATTTAGTGAATGAAACAATAGTTACTTCTCCGACCAAACGTGCACAATCCAGTAATAAATAGTCGAAGAAAAATTCAATGACAATTCAGTCAATTTAGAAATTACACCGCCTGTTCTTTTTCTTGCAATGCAATTTTGTCCATCGAGCAAGGATAAGAATGAATTTATTGGGAAGCTATTTTGACAGAAGATTAAATATCGGATTGATAAAGTATTACGGAGAGATTAATGCAGATTTAGAATGAAGGCGAGCAAGGCGAGCAGTGTTCTTAAATGCCTTTCACATTGGCTTTAACCGTATCAAAGGCTGGCCACGCAGACGTACTTGAAATTCAATTACCGAAGCTTCGAAATCGAGTTTCGGGTAAACGAATGCACCCTCACGCACCCCCAAACACGCGTACGCAAATACGTCTGCGAAGCAATACGCTCGCCGGTAGATACGCCACCCGGTACAAATGGGATTCCCCATGGTATACCTATACTCGTTTTGTACAGTATCGTCAGAGAAACGTGGCGAAGGGAAATCTGTGAAAATACGGGGGAAATAACGGGCGTACAGTAGCTCACAAAAGTATTTGAACAACGATGAAAGCTTCTTATGAACACGTACGTTTCACAAAATTCATTGAAATTCTGTTTTATTTAGCATTTTCAGTGAATCGACACAATGGTTTAAAGACACGAAATCTTTAATGTACATGATATATAAATTATTCTACAATAATAATGATATTGTGGCACATTTTACAACTTTGATATGTAAAATTGTATCTTTCACTATAATTTCTATCATAAGTTATATTTCCAGTCCAATGATGAGATGTTTTTGTACATTTATGAAATAACGAGATTTAAAATGCACAATGATGTATAAAAAGTGTATTTGTGTAATTGAACTGCAGACTCTTTATTAGAAACTCAAAGTACACTCGTAAAAGTTGTCTACGATAAGTGTTCAAATATTTTCGCGAGCTGTTGGAAAATTGTAAATCACGCTCGAGGTTCTGACGTGAAGCAAGATGAAAAAAATGTTAAATTGATAAAAAGGAGAGGATCAAATAACGGATCAAACGAAGCAAGTCGATGTTAACATTTCAATCTGGTTGAAGAAATTAGGGGTCGAAGGCGTAGCCTTTGTGACAGGCGGTCTAATTCAAATGAATGGAAATGCAACGGCTCCCTCGTCGAAGTTGCCGTTAAAATACACGCCGAGAAATTCGTAGAAGTGTATCGTGCAAAAGTCGCTATTCGCAATTTGTCACCTCGCGTTTTGTCAAATCGATGATGCAAATGGTATCTGACCCGGAAACAGGAAGCGCGTGGAAAACGCTTCGTCTGTTTCTGTTGCTTTCGAGGCTGGAAGTATATTCAAAGAGTCTCACCGAGTCGTTTTAATCTCTTACGCTGCATCAACGTATGCTACGTTTGCATCCGCTTGATAGTTGGAAAAATGACAGCAGCTTTCGTTGTGAAAGTCAGTGACGGAGAAATGAATCGCGAAAGGAATGAGAAGAATTTCATAGTACACGCTCTTGTTTATTAGTATCAGGAATCAAGCTTTCCTGACTATTATTAATTAACTGATAATCAATAGACTGCAAGTAGATTACAGACGTATTTTATTTCAACTTATATTACAATTTAAAAATATTCATATAAAGTACAATTTGATTGATTAATATGAAGTATAATTATTATAGATGATTTGTACTGTGTGAAAAAAAGCAGCTGATCAATGCTAACCATCAGTGGACTGTGGATTTTATATTTCTGTCGTATAAAAATCTCGCCGATTATAAATAATATCGATCGATTTATCGATATATCTACTCTCACTCCTTATTAGACTGCGCACTCTTCGTTCGCGTAATTTCACTCGGAGAATAACTAGCAATTCCTAATAATTTTTTTCACAAACATCCTAAGAACAAGTGACGGACTGTGAGTGAATTTCCTCAAGCTCCTCTCATTTGCACGAGTTGTTCCACCGGGATGACATCCCTTCGACTGCCGACTCTTGAACGCCGAACGCCGGGGGAGCGTTTTCTTTCAGCAACCCCCCCCCCCCGCGAACAACCCAGGAAACCGGCGGGTGTTATCGACCAGTGGCGGGAATTTCATTTTTCCCAGGTTCGATATGCTGCGAAACGCGAACCGCCGAAGATTCGACTAGATTTTCATCCCCCGGCCTGGCTGCCTATTCCGGTCGGAAGAACGTAGGGTGGGAATACGTACGTAGAGAGGGTGAGCGAAGAGAAGCTTTCTCTCTGCCTCGCACTGCTTAACTCGAGTCGCGAGGGGATGCGAGTTACCGCTACCGACTTCCGAAAAGGGAGCCGTAGTCAGACAATTTCCTCTATCGCGTTGACATTCGCACTTCTCTTGATTTCTGTATTACGCGGCCCGATGTTCCTTTCCCGCCTGTTTCGCGTCGTTCTGCTCCAAGCATCTGGCTTTCTCGCACGCGACGACGAGATTTCGATTTTTCCATTGTGAAATGTCTGGGTGTATAATTCATCTATCAATGAAGTTTAGATATCTCCGTGACCGATCGAGCGATCTCGTGCTATGGAACTTATAGTTGTAAAGTAATTTCGATCCTCACGTGAAGAATCCAGAATGAAAAGGATGAAGAATTACAGCCGCTATGAAAAAGAGAATTTAATGAGAAAACTAGTTCAGTCTTTTTTTTTTGCGACTACAAAGGCAACATGGAAGAATATTTTATTATGCAGAAATTTGACTCCAGAATAT